GTTCCAGCCTTGAATACTCGGTTTGCTACTACCTTCTTCCTTCTTTTATTGACTACTTTAATTTTTACGAATTTTACATGTATTTTGAGTGACAAACGGATTTTGGGGTGTTCTTTCTAGTCACAACCATTTCATGTCATTCTTATGACATTCCCGTGAAGATAGGAGAGAATGGGACAAAGCTTTTACCTAACATCACCTGCTGTTTAAGAAAAAGAACACGGTGGTGCATTTAAATTATCTGAACTGAGGAAGGGGCTCTAGTTCCATTTTAAAGTGAGGATAACGTGGACTCAAAGGAAATAGATATATACTTGAACGCCTCCAAACCACTTTAAATTCAAACAAAGGGCGTAGAATTTTACACCTAAGATAAACTTACAGCCCAACGTCAGACCCATTTTAGACTACGGATAATCCCGTATTTTCCTAAAATACCAAACAACAAGCAGTTCTTGACTGACTGGCCTTAAGGGGACACGAGACCCTTAATGATGACTTCGTCCGAGGGGGTCATTGACCGTTTTTATGCTATAGACGTCTTAGTTGTTTCACGACGACTTTAACCCCTAGTACAAAAACGTTAAATAAGACAGGCGCATTTATCGTCTGACGACTTAGGGGTCTTCTTTTAATGGGTCGTTCAGACGCACAATACAACTTTAACGTCTCAGACGTTAAGTCTAGTATAAAAATAGGCAGTTGAGGACTACATGTAGCTACTTCTGTAGGAAGGAAATAATAATTAAAAAAAAAACAGAAATAAAGCAAACTTAAATGGAAAGTAACTTAATTGTTTGGTCTCTCAACCAATTAAAAATAGGCCTCTGAGAGGACGTGAGGTTACCGGTGGGAAATACAGAAGTGCAAAACCAATGAAAGTATACCCCGCCAGCAAAGCTCTCATCTACAAGTAGGAAAAAATTGATTGAAATGACTACCGAGAATGTGGAACTGCGTGCATCAATTTCACTTCACTTTAAAGCATCTACAAAGATTGACTTATGTTATGTAAGGAATGTAGCTCTCTATTGTAAGTAATTAATGTGTTGTAAGTTATATGTTAAATCTAAATAAGTATTCACAGTCGGTGAGGCAGGAACGACGAGACAACGCGCAAGTGAGCAGCAAAGGGCTTCCTCGTCCTGGGGCCGTTTTCTCGCAGATTCTCTCATTTCTTGGTATAACAATCCCTTGATCAAATATAAGGTAACACTGGAAATGTTAAGAGGCCCTCTGATAGCAGCAAAATCAGGCCTAAAATAAGCCCTCGCAAAGAACGGTTCAGAAATCACTTTCGGAACGCAAAATCATGAGAAAACTACACAGTGATGAAGAAAAAGGCCTTTTAATACAAGATCATTCGATGAACATCGAAGAACTGCCGAA